CATAGTAAATTATGCATGAAAGTTTATTAACTGCATAAACTTCCTGAGTGGCTCCCATGCTGCACTAGGTCTGCATGCTTACTATTGATATAAAAAATTACAGCTTTAAGTGGTTGAGCATGACAGACCTTGAACAACTGCTCTTTCTGCATACTCACTATTTCTGATGAGGGTATGCTCTGGACCACAAACCTCAATCTTAATTCTGAAGTTATGATGGAAAAGAAATGCAATTAAAACAAAACCAAAAAATCTAGAAGGATGACAAGCACAAATTTAGTTTTACACTAACACATTTTTTTCTCAGAGCCCAGTTTCTCTCTTCCCTTCTTGCTTGACTTTTATCCTTTTTGTTTTTTGAAATTAAAAAAAAAAAAAAGAGAGAGAGAGAGAAAACCTTTCAGAATGCAAGCTGCTGGTTTATACTCATACTCTTCTAGGTACAACTGATTGAAAATAACTTCAGTGTGATTTAGTTACTATCTCAGACCCTGTTCCCTTTCTCCATTGGTTGTAAAGGTCCCCTGGCCAAGGTTTCTATAAATCTTTCACATAAAAAGACTATCTTCAAGGTTAAGTATTTGGCTCCATAAAAATTTCATATTAATTGTACTCCAAAGGGTTTTACCATGTCTGAGCGTTACCATTTTATGATCTGGATTGTTTTCTTTGTTTTTTTTTTTTTTTTAAATTTGTCCTAGAAATTACATTCATCAAATCAATGGCTTTTTTCTAAACACTCTCCCTTTCTGATACATCTTCTAAACAGAGGCGAAGACCAAATTCTCAACGAACTACAGATTAAGAAAAAAAAAAGAGAAAAATCTATTCTACAAAAATGACCTGCATATCTCAAATATTTCAAGTTTTCCTAAAGCAAACAGAAGATTAAATAACTGAATTCCAAATATACCTCAGAATGATGGTAAGTATACCTCAGATATATACTTATGGATGATGACTGAAACAGTGTTTCCTAACTCTAAATATGTTGTAGTGTTACAGAATAAGCATATGAAATAAGGAACATCTGCTTATAAACATTTTCTGAGTTTTCAGGAAAAAAAATACATTTTAATCATTCATAAAAGGCAGCAAAGAAGAAAGTCAATGCCTCTATAAATTTTAGAGATTGGAAAACAATTATATAAAACCCTTACCATCTATTACATATTCAACGAAATGGATACAAACATTTTAAGATAACAAAATATCACTGCAAGTACCTAGCAGTATGCTAATATATTAACTGACAGGCCATTATTGTAGAGTTTGTTGAGTATTTATTTAATTGTAGTAGTTAAAGCAATTTCAACCTATAGCCCTTTAGGCACACAGACAAGAAATGTATCTCTAATTTAAAAAAAACCAAAAAAAAGCTGATGTTCTCCCATGTAAACTATCACATGATTCACAATAAAAACTTAAAAAAAAAAAAAAAAAAAAAAAAAAAAAAACCACAAAGTTACAGGCACTGGACTGTCTAATTTGGGTATTTTCTTAGTATTTATTATTTTGTAACTAAGTCCTATATTGCCACCAGCTGTATTTGTGTCTGTTCTCCATTCTGAAATCCCCAAAGTGTACTTTATTGAGGCACATGGTTCTTGCAACATAGGTTAGTGGCATAGAGATGGTCCCCCACATCTAAAACTCATGGATAACACAAGGAGGCAGGCCAGGTTTAAAACCTGAAAGAATACTGAGAATCAAGGCAAAAAAGCAAGTTCCACAGGCAGTGTTTACTTGTATACCCCAAAACAGCACTGAAAACGAGGTAGATAAACAAAAATAAATGGACTAAAAGTAAATCTGGTGTTCTAAAATGACATATTCAATCATATTGTACAGAACATTCCACACTCAATCCAAAACTCACAGCAGAAAAGTGTCTTTTAGACTTTCACAGATAATTTTGCTGTCAAACCATTAGAATTCATGCTTGATATAAAATTGGCATGGAAGGGATGAAAAACAGAATGGATGTTATAGCATATTACCTTAAATAGTGATTCAAGATTGCTACAAATATACACAGGGTTACTGTCATTAGATTTACACCAATATTGGTTTCATATTCTTAAGATGTAATACCCAAACTTCACAGACATAGCAGCAGATACTTCATGATGAAACGCTCACATTGCTACATAATGGATGTACAGTACTATTCATTAGACTTGCACTTTGAGAAGTAAACATGGTGGCTGGATATAAGACTACCCCTCCCCCCCCCATATAAATTTTACAAGCAGGATGGTTAAGTACATTTTTTTTCTCTTCTATAGGGAGAATGAAAAGGATAGTTTTTGTGTGCTTTTTGGAAATGGGTAGAAGGCCTTTTTAATATAACAGGCTGTTTGTTAAGTAAGAAGGGGATTTCTGAGTTTTACCTTAAGAGTTATTTATTTCTGGGGAGAGAACGTCCTACATACCTCAGCAAGGATGAAAACAGCAAAATTATATAAGTTAGCAAAACTATATAAAAAACTAGCCAATATTTACAAAGTGACTACAATATGAATCAAATATTTTATGGGAAAAATAAATTAAAACCCACAGTGATGTGAATAACACTGTTTTCTCATTTCTGCACAAACTCACTTCTTAAATGTATTTTTAAACTTACACACACATTACATACACATAATGTATACATAACATATATGTTAACTCAAATACTGCAGTCACCATGGAGACAGCAGTACAGTATTCACCATCTTCAAACTTTAGAAGACTACTTTTCTTTCCAGCAAAAATCTGAAAAGATTCTAAATATCACAAGGCACTGCAAAAGTCTGCAGGCAAACAAGAATGATGAATTATGTGTAAAACAGAGGTGGTGGCAAAATACAGGACATATGGTATAAAGCAGCCATTAAAAAAGTAATTGTGCATGTCATCCATGGAATTCTTTTTTTTATCTAAGTTACACTGTTTACAAAAGATTACAACAAAAGAAAGGGTTTTAAAACCTGCAGTATTTTCACTTTGTAGGTTGTATAAAGCCAACTCTTACAATGAAACAAGAGCAGTTTTAAAGAATTATGGATTTTAGGAGCATTGTTTTATAATACATGGATAACACTGCAATGTAAGCATTTACCACTACACTAATGTCCTTAAATCCATTCAATTTTCAAATCAACATTTTAGAAGAAATGTGAAGAATCTGTATATAAGATATATACTCATTCAAAACAGTATGTTTTATGAAAGGAAACTGTGGCTCTTATCAACAGCAATTCTCAAAATGCTGCCCTAGATGCCCCCAAATGATAGTTAACAGAATCTTATGTTGGGGGTGTGTAAGCAATATGTAAGACATGCTTTCTTGAAAAGGGGCACTGAATGTCACAAAGTAAACTGTGAGAAAAAAAAAAAAAGTAAACCTATTAAGTTTTCCTCATTATCTGGAAAGCCCATGGGGTACAGTTTTTGGAGGAACATGGAAGAAAATCTGTTAGCAAAAATTATATATGACAATTTAGAATGTTTACTGGTAGATAGAACTCCAAATCAGGTAAGTGTGACCTAGAAACAATCTTAAGTGTGACCTAGAAACAATCTTGAAATTTTCAGAGTGAAAAGTAAGTAAGTTAAACATGTATACTTGGTAGTTGATAAATACCATTTAAGAATTCTATTTGGATTTCACAGACTGAACATTAGGTAATCCTGTGACCAGCCTTTTAATATTATCATAGTTAACCTTCTTGAAAACCAAAAGTGTACATTTTGACATTGCTTCCCTCCTTCTATAACTGGATAAAAACCAGTAAAGTGCAACTTGACAGTGATCTCTCAGATTCTAAAGAGGCTGCCAAAAATCACTAAGCTCTAAAATTACCTAAGATGCTATAGATACTAACAAATTATAACAATTAAAAAATGGCACTCCAAAAAAAAATCTAAGAGCAACTTAAATAGTATCCTTAAAGGGTCTACTATCTCATTGCAGGACAGCATATACCCCCCACCTTTTAGAACCCTGTAAAGCCAGTGTTTCATGTATAAGAATGAAAACCTGCAAAACCTACAGTCACAAGTAAATTTCACTTTTGAAGAATGGATCAATAGAGCTGTAACTTTAATCCTCTTTGCTAGGCATACAAGGATTCTCTGCCCCCCACCCCCCAATGAGATTCATAACAGCTACAGTATATCCCTTGAAAAAGAATGCAAGCCAAACCAATGCCTCTCAGATGCTAAAAAACAATGTAATGTGCATTTGAGAAACAAGGAGATAGCTGCTTTACTCAGAGATGCTTTGAATTACTACCAAAATCTTACAGCAGCTACAGTATCTGCAAAATCAAGGAACTGTTACAGTTCTGTTTTTTCCTTTTCCTCTGCCTCACCCCAAACAAGCACTCACTCCTACTGCTGTGACGACAGGAAGAAAATCACATTAAAAAGGGCTCATGTTCTGTATGTGTTGACAAAGTTATTCTAATTTTATACAAAAAAGTTCCCTGCAGTAAATTATCCTGCTTGTTGTGAAAGGTTAACCTAAGATAAACATGTGAAGAATCTCATAAGACTCTGGCTGCTGGATGGTAACATTTCATCCATGTCTGGGGAAAACCAATTTAAATAGTTTTTATACACTTTAAAGAAAAGTATCATCCAGCTGCACATAGCAACAGTAAAAAATAGGGACTTCTCAACAATGAATGAAAATTGTTCTGGAAATGGTAATGCTCAAGCCAAGCTTATTAAAGCATTCTGAACAATATATATTTTTTAAAATCAAGTATCAAAGAGGATAGGATTTGAAGTGAAAAATCATTCCTGTGTGCAGTGTTCTATGTATAAACTGCACATTTCTATAGAATGATGAGCTCTATCAAATACAATATTGGAACAGAAAAAAAATACAACCAATAGTAAACTCAAATGATGAAAAACATGGCAGAACCCAAGAAGAAATGTTAATATCTTAGCTGTCCTGAAAATAATTCTGAGAAAAAAAAATTTCTCCCTTTATTTACTCTGATTCATTTGGGACCTGGAGGAATTGTGGCTGGATTCTGCCCTGGTGAAGCTGTAAATGCCTGCAAATTCATTCCAGGCTGAAATGGTCCCACAGATTGTGTAGGAATTACTATGGACGGTTGTGTTGTTCCTGAAATTCCTACCCACTGTATTGGATACCCTGTCCCCGCAACAGCATTATACTGACAAACATGGGGTATCCCATATGATGATAATGGCCCAGGAAATGAAGGGAGTGAGAGTCCTTGTGGTAAGGAAGTTGGGGCAGCTCCACGAATTTGTGACAGAGAAGAAATCCACGTTGATGTGTAGCCCACAGTAGAGGAAGTATTCTAACAAAAACAAAAAAATAAAAACAAAAGATCAGTTCATTTGGTATAAGCTTTTTACCCATTTATTCTCCTTCCTATTCTATGTGCTAAACATAGTTGCATGCAGGCTCTCATTTCATCTTTATAACTTCCTTGCAAGGTAAAAATTTTCAGATGAAGAAATAGAAGCTCTAAATTAGTAACTTACCCACAACCGTAAAACAAGTTAGTAGTGAGGCAGTGACATGAACACAATTCTAGCTAACTTCAAGGCCCTACATCTACATTTCAGGCTCTCTTTTCCTCATCCTAACACTACTAATCTAAATGTTATCTCCCTACCACCTTCTACTTAAAATCTGGTATTTCTATTATATTTTTGGAAATTTAAACTCAGGACAAAGCAACAATATGTTTTTGGTAGTATTGAGAAAATATATCCTTGCCTGGCTTTTTTATTATCACCTTGCATTGTTTATGCATATGTATTGAGAATACTGAAGTCTTATGTACATGCAAAAAGTCTAAGAGAAGTAAATCATCTCAGTTAGAGGGAAGGTTGGTGTCAGGCCCCAATTTTTAGCTACTCTAGTTTACCTGAATGATCAAAGTGAAACACTGTCAATTAAACTTTCAAATTAAAGTTATAGTAAAGGGTTCTACTCAAGAATGAATGAAAGGGAGAACAAACAAGATGGCGGGTCGGGTGGACGTGCAGTAAAGGAGCTCCGCCAGCAACAACACAAAATACCAGACCAAGCAGGTTCAGGGGCTGTTCCCAGCACTCTGAACCACATATAAAGGCATATTTAGAAGGTTGGAAGGCTTACAGCTAGTTGACTTTGTGGCAGAAGCAAGAAATCTATTGCTTTCTAGTCCGGGATGCTCAACTGCTCCAGGACCCGCCATCTTGGGTGAGAACACGTGGGGGAAGGAGCGGAGCGGCCACAGAAGCCTGGCAGAACTGCTGAGATAAAGGTGTGGACATTCTTTACTTTTGGTAGCTGTTCATTGGTCCCTTGCTGTCTGCGTACCTCCATTCGGGTGACTATAGGGGTGCCGGAGCTAGTGGGCACCCCAGCCCCACCCTCAGAGGGTTCTACTATGCATGTGCACAGATCTCCTCAAAATTTAAAGAGACAGTTTCCAATTAAAACCAAATGGCCACAGCGTGCCCTCAACTGTTTCCAACTAGAAAAAAGGCCTGAATGGGGATTGTGGAGTAGGACAAGCAGACAAAAGGGAAATAGGCCAAAAATTAAATCCTAACTTATGTCAAAAACGACCAACAGTGGTATCTTGAAACTTCTCAGGAAGAAGAGTGAAATGGGAAGCCCATTTCCTGATCACATCTACCTGGAGGCACTCAGAAAGCATACAAATTACCAAAATACATATCCATCTAAGTATTAAGTCCACAGATAACCCCTGAAGATGTCCAAAAAACAGAAGCAGATGACCATATCTGCACATGTCCAGAAA